AGCTTTGTCAATCAGAGGGGTGTCTGCAGCCTGTGCAACAAAATCAAAACTGTCACAGTTACTCCGACAGATATGATATGTCTATACAAGCCCGGCCAGGTGGGCACACTCTGGAATCCTGCAATCGAATCTGTCAAGGGAACGAAAAAGTGACTGGGTCTGGCGTGATCGAATGAGCTGTGCGAAGATGCTTTCGCAGGTGTGGTTGACTATTGCAAACATGTGGACAATGTGGACACGGGAGAAGGAGGACCAAACCAACATGATTGGGCGAAACCGGCAAACAGTGAGAGTGTGCTCAAAGTGCTGTTCATATGGTCTGGAATGAAGAAAGTCTGCCTCTGGGAGCTGCAGAAGCTGCAGTTGTCGGATTCGTGCTTGTCTCTTCCACGCTTTGGCAAGATGGACATCAACGTTCTGTGGCCCCGCTCGGCACAGGTGGTCCTGCAGGTGGGATTGAGCGCATCACTGATACAGGTTCGAATCAACTCCTGCTGGCAGGGGATGGTGAGGCCTGAGGCATCAAGCCCATAAACAGGGCTGAGCTCAATCCGCCGCAACGTCAAAAGGCGGCTGTTGCCACTCGCACTCGAAGGCCATGGAACAGGCCAGGCGGGCTGGAGAGAAGTTACAGCTGCAGGCGGCTTCGAAAGTGCAGGCTCCCTGACAATCGCTCTACCTCTATAGGTGGCATAACCGTGAGCAGCTGGTCTACGTTGGGCCCTTCGAAAACTCCTTTTACATGAGCTCCTGGCTCTACCGGGGAAGACTCGATGCCCTCTGCTATGATTGTTTCGAAAAAGGCCATGAATGGAATGGGGAAACTGGTCTTCTCCCGTGCCCAGACATAGCACTGGCAGTACCCTCACCCTTAGCCTTACCACGCCAAAAATACAAAATTCCTCAAGATGTGCTGAGCTCTGAAGGGCAATGAGGTGGTCGATCTGAGAGGGCCTCAGCCACCATGGTGTGGTGCCGGAATTGGGACCGGCCAGCCAGAGCAGCAACCGCACCGCTAGGCAAGCTACCAAACGCTCACCCGGTCCATGGCAGCATGCCAAGGATGAAGCCTCGTCTCAAGAGGGGCGGCTGCGGAGCCACTCGAGCCGTGGGGCTTGCAGAATCATCTCAGCCGAGCATCCAGAAGAGCCATGGCAGACAAAGGGAAAGAAAGGGAGACAAAAGGCCAGAAATCATCTTGGCCTAGGATCGCTTCTAGGACGCCAGGCAAGAATTGAGAACCCCTCACATCACCTCGCTGTTTGGTTCCACAACCGTCCAACCGGACTCTATCGACACTCTATCGGACTCGGACTCGATCCTGACAGCCAGCATGTTGTCCAATCAAACATCATCCGCCAGCGACCTTCATCATCCGAAGGATCCCCTCCAGCTCACCCGCCTGATACTTTTCAACGCCTCAGTTGCGCAACTCCCGGGTGATCGAGTGCCCGAACAATCATGACCCCTTAGTCCAAAAAACATGCAAACCGCAACAGCGGTGTTGCAGCAGGTCGGTCAAATTTTAGCAAAACACATCATGTTCATCACCCGCTTGAGTCACCGCCGTAAGCAACATACAATCCGAATCAGTACATGTACTTGATATATGTTTTAGGCATCCTCAGCATTCATCTCGGACTGGACTTACCACCTGCCACCCATGAGCTGCAACCCAGTGGCTGGCACCAAGGTCAATGACCTCCTCTGGAGGGGCTGCTTGTCCTTCCTGGCAACTGAGCCCTTGTTTCCTACTGTCAGACATGCTGAAGGATCCAAGTGTTTGGGGGTCCAAGGACCTAAGGACCGCGTAAGCTTGACAGGTCTTGATATCTTTGACATCTGAAGAAAACAGCAACAGGAAGGGATAGTGTGACTTTCAGGGAGAGGATGAGGCCACTGTATGTACCTTTCAAACCACATGACACCAAATTAAAATAGATTAAAGTGAAACAGGATGGCAAGGGCGCGGCCCCTTAAAGCTTTTGTTCCAAGTGCTTGGATTTGGGTTGCCAGCTTACAGTAATGCAGCACCAATACCAACTGTTGTCTTGTTGTCAACGAAGCCATCTAAGAAGGTCGTGCTTGAAGCAACCTTCAAAGCATTCCTAAGTTGGAAAAACTTTAATTCCACAAATAAGTGTTCAGGGGGTAAGGTCATGAAACAAATCGAGTTCCTAAAACAACCCATGTAGCCCTGCAAGACTTTCCTCTGTAAAGATCACAGCCAAGCTGCACTGCAAGACATGCTCAAATTGAAACTTAAACACCGACTCGTATCATTTCCCAACATCTCCGACTGGCCGGCTAAGAAAATATCATGCAGCTTTAGACTTTAGACTCAGACTGAAGCGGATGACAAATCAACGTCCGGTGAAATGTCCGTCGTCCAGCTCCTGCGGCGCCGGTGTCGGGAAAAACTCCAATGTGCGACCAGTAAACGTGTGCTCCCAACCTGGCTGAAGTCCCAAGGTGATGGTTGATCCATCCTATCTTATACCGTATACCCAAAAAGAGTGCGGTCAACGAATAGTCGGACTTGCACCCTTGCACCATTTCGGGCGCCCTTCTGGCGATGCACCGGGCCGTCAACTCCCTTGCTCGCCGCCTCTGGCTCGGTGCCAGTGTCAACCTCTGCTTCCTGGAGCGAGATCTCGTTCTGAAGCGAGAGAGACACACACCCCTGGGGCATCCGAGGCCCCTGCAAAACCGGGTCGTCAAAGAATGGCATTCCAAACAAACGAAGTTCCAAATGGTTAGGGTTCTCGGGTTCTCACTGATCCAATGGTCCCAGTCAAATGGACTAGGCGGCTGTTTGGGGTGTTGGAACCGATCAAAGAGAAAGTAACTAATGGGTTCTTTGGCTCAAGCGATGGACGATTCTACCAGTACCTATCTGTTTGATTTGACCTCACACGCTGCTGGGTACCAGTTTCCACCAGCCAAACGGCCAAAACAATCACAAGCATCGCACAACATATTCTTCGTACCATATCACACCATAGCAGTTTTGGACTTGACCAGCTACAGTGCCACTTGGTCACTTGGTCGCCCGTTCCCGGAACACGCCCACGGTCCTCGGAGGAATGGTTCTGAGGGCGGAGGAGGGTGACGGCGGATGGTCGGACCAGGTCGTTTCCACTTGGATTAGAACAACACCATAGCAGTGAAGCTAATTATACTAGTAGTGTCCTTGCTATACGTAATGCCCTTGTTAGTAGCTTCTTGCTACTAGTTACTAGTGAAGTGAATGAAGTCGGTTTGGGCGCTTGGAGTCAACTTGGAGCTTCAACAAATATCGCCCGTGGATTTGGAGCTCCAACCCTTGGAGTCGGATGTATCCTCAAAGGTTGAGTCCTAAGGGCCTTGGAGTTGTCTGGAAGTAAGTTGTGCCTGTCCTCTCAACGACGTGCTATCTTTTGCCAACCTTTCTGAAATTTGTTCTTACTCTACTAGGCTAACAATAACATCATCATACATCATCAACGTGTCAATCTTCCTCTTGGATACGCTTACTCTACCGGCCCCCAAAAAAGAAACACAACCACTCGCTACATCCCGAAGAAGTCGTCGAAGCGTCGCTGAAACGTCCAGTGACCGGTGAGAACGGTGACTAGGCACGGTCCAAAGGAGAGAGATGTCGGGAGTTGGAACGGGTGAGACACACTCTCGATAGACATGATCGGGGAATCTCATGGAATCTCCAAATGTATACACAGCTGAACATCTATGGCCGTAAGTTTGACATGCGTATCATTATCTATTTGCTGCACTCAAAATAGTATTCAAATGTATTCAACACTGTCCTCAGTTTTGACTCACCTCGACGTGTTGACAGGTTGTCCGGTCCCCAGCCACTTGGTCTACGACCACCCGACGGACCTCGGCCCGAACGCCCCCGGGCCTCATGATCCACGAGCTCCGTGCCCTGGCGAGCCAGTCCGAAGTGCAGACGAGCCCGGTGCAGTGCACAGGTGGTGTCACACAATGCATGTTCTACCAGTAATCACTCGCATGTTCTATCAGTAATCGCTCGTGTTTTGTAAGAAAGAACATGAGAACCAGTTCACACGAAAGACATCCAACAAACGACCACGTTCGAGAGAGATCAGGTCGGTCACACTGGGATGGCGGAGCGATCCGTCGCAGATGACGTCGACCGCACCTCCTCGTGATGTCCATGGTCATCGGGGTCAGACATGGCGGGCCTCGCTGCGGGGTCAGACATGGCGGTGACCGACTTAGAGGTTGGTTCCTACAGGTTGGGGTCCTTTCTGGAAGCGGGGCTGGCAGCATATCCCTTGAAACCAGAGATGGAATGGCCAAGGGGGCGATGGGCATATCTACCTTCATGACTCGCGATCACTTGCAAGAGCCTCACCAGGCGCATCATTGGTGTTTCACCAGGCGCAAGAGACGGCGGCGCCAAAACCAGCAGAGTCCAAGGATCATGGATCACACGAGTCCAATCGCTGGGGTCGCTCGGCGTCCGACGTCTTTGCTCTTCCGACGTGGAACGGAAGACCAGTCCACGACCCGTTTCGAACCCACAGAGCCGAGCGACGTCGAACCCTCGGGGTTCGGCCGACCTCTTGTCTGACTTGAGCCAAGTGATCTGAGGAAGTGAGTTTGGTGAGTCTTTTGGGGTTCTCTGCTGTTGTTTCTGAAGGCAGGAAAAACCGAATCACAAAACCAAAGTTATTCACCTTGTCAAAGTGCCCTTTCTTGAACACTCCATGAGGAGCTTTTTGAGGGTTGCCTTTTTGCGGACACAAGAAAACACCTGAAAACACAAGGAACTAATAGCTGGGCTGAGATTTCTCGGATGCAAACAGGTGGCCAACTCATATGTGTCACATTATGGCTGTAGGTCAAGACCGGGGGACCTTGGTTGATCACAGAAACAGAATAGCCTAATAAGGTCAACCTACGGGTTCTTTCAGGGTCTCCAGGCTTTGACCCACTGCCATATCAATCTCCTGTCAAAACTGGTTCATGAAGTCTCTACCCTTGACCGAGAATGGAAACTGTGATCAAGATCAGTTGCAGAAAGCACTGGTGGGCTGCGATGCGGCGATCAGTGTGGCTCGTTTGCCAGGGTTGCCAATTCCACGGAGGACTTTGGGATTCTTAATGAAATGCGCACTTGTTCCGAAACACTACCGCCCACTACCAACCCGTTCTCCGCCACAGGCGCTTGCCGATCCTTTTCAACGCTGCACGGTGTGGAAACAACCCAGACCTTCCTGTCATCTGCTACCAAAGCTCAAAATGATGGCAACTGCTTCGCAAACTGTCTGTCAGCGATCAAGCAGTGTGGAATCATCTGTCTATTCCTCATTTGGTCTGGTGACAACAGAAGGCTTGCCTTAAGCAGCTGGGTAAGAAGGCCACCTGGCACGCTGGCACCAGGGTATTTGATTCCATGTTCGATTTTGTCAAAGCCATGTTTGGTCCCCATTTTAGGTTTCTGGGAGTGTTCCTCAAGCTTTCAACCATCTATATATATATAAGCACTATATACACATATAGCTACTTATGCACTTGTCAATGCCACAATTGGAACATACTTGTTCAAATTGTTTCATACACAGAAGCTTCTTTCTTCCGTGGGTTAAACAACTAGTTGACCTCATCACCTGCAGACAAATCTCACATTCTTCCGCAAGCTCAGCCTCGGTGATGTTGAGTTGTGCTGAACCTCTTGGTGTCGGGGTGAAGCATCCTCAATAATTAATAGTATCGCAACTACCTAACACCAGCCTTCCAATTCTTGTTGTTGTTAGAGAATGTGATGCTGTCTCATCAGGTGTGCAATAGGGACACTCCCAGGCAAAGCCTGGTGAAGATCAACTACACCCAGTGTTTGCAGGGTCTCCGTCTTGCACATCCATTTCGAACGATTTCGCTCCATCAACTGCAGCGAAAAGTCCACACCTCATCACACCTCACCGTCGTCATCGGTGTCCTCGCTCATTTCACTTCCTCTGGCACCTCAGTTTTGGGCCAATTTCACCGTGCGGAGATGCCCTCGGGGCCTGGGTTCAGGTAGAAGTACCACAGGCTCAGGCTGAGGATTTGTTCAGGGATTCCTAAGTTGATCAGTTTCCAAGCAATGAACTTCTAAAGATGGTGCTGCCCATATGTACCTCTTGATCCGCTGGGATGGTTTGGACCCTTTTCCAAGGGAGAAACGGAAGGTGACCTGAGTACTGGCAGGTGGATGGTGAAGGAACATGTCGCCTCGAAGAAACAGAATTCACCAGGTTATGGAACATTGGTTGTTCGTCGGCATGTGATTCTAATAAGGAATATATCATATGAGTCGTTGCATTGAGCACCACAGAGCTATAGGTTCAGCAGCAGCCCGCCTCCATAGAGATCCAGAAAAAAAAGAACTAGGTTGACTCACAAGCAGTGCAACATGAGCCGTTTTTGAGTTACGGCCAATCCTATGTAGCAGCCCGCGTCTACAGAGATCCAGAAAAACTAGGTTGACAAGCAGTGCAACATGAGCCGTTTTAGAGTTAGGGCCAATCCTATGTTGAGATATGAATTGAATACACTGAGTCTTGCTGGTGGGTGAGAACCTGTCAGGCACGCTGTGGTTGGTTTCCAGGCTCCCAACAAACGTAGAATGTGTGCTTGAACGTCATAGAGTATCTTGTTCTGGTCTTTACCCTACCCTGTTCAAGTTAGCAGGATGTCCCAGGTGGCTGAGGTTCCCGGCTTTCAGATTCATTGTTGCTGTTCTCTCTTTCCCTCTTCTTCTTCTTACGGTTTTTGCCCATGCGCATAATCCTTGGGCAAACAGAACGCTGCAACGCTGTGGCTGTAGAGAGGTCAACCGCCCAAATCCGGTCAATCCGCTTCGTCTTGTGGAACTGCCGGATGTTTTCAGGCCAACGGCCAGGTCCATTGGTCTGACTGCAATGGAAGCATAAACGAAGATAAAAGAATGACATGAATACACCACTTGGTTTTTCCCAAGTGCATACATCTCTGACGGTCTGCAACTACGTCGTAAGCATCGTGTCGGGGACCAACGCTATAGACTCGAACGCTATGTTAGCAACTCCGCCGTTTTGCATCATTGATCCCTATAGTCCCAGCAACTACGGCGGTAAACTGGCTTCAAATGCCAGGTTACTGGTAGACCAACGGATTTGCGTCACTTGAAATCACCCAGGAAGTGGGAACCCCCCAGGTGCGGATGCTGGTGTTGTCTACCCAGCGCAATCTCGTGTATTGGTCTACCCAAGTATATCAATATATACATATATATATATGTTTATATATATATATGTAATATTATGTGATATATATATAATATTAGAATCATTAGAGAGAGAGAGATAGAGCGCGGAAAAAGCGTTTCGGTGACAAATGTCTGGGTCATGCTATTTCTCACACTGCGACACGGGTCCGTCCCAGACACTCTAGAATCAGTGAGCTGAGGAATTTTGGTGTCTGGATTTCCTCATCTTGCTGCTCTCGGACCAACTTTGAGGTATGTGAAATGACACTCTCTGTCTGTTCCTATTACTATTGGAGAAGTTGACACCTACTGTTTCCACCCCATCCCATGGCACCTCCTTTCCACAACCGCCCCATCCTCCCTTTCCAAACGCGACCGCCCAGGGACAGCTTCTCCAGGCGGGCGAACCGGTCCTTCTGTGGCCATCTTCATTCTCAGAAATTCTGTGTCACCGCAGGAACTCAGGAAGAAGTAATAGTTTTAAGGTGTTCTAAGCAGGGGAACTTGGAAATCCCAAGAAGATCCAGTATTGCTGGTACCACAAGGCTGCACTTGGCTGTGGAAATGATCGTAAAAAATCCTGGTACCACATGTTCTTGCACGCTGTCACTACATCCTCAAGGAAGCTGGAGGATTCGGAGAAGGACTCGAAGAAACATACTGTCACTGTACGCGCATGTACCCGCCATACAACTGTGCGCATGCCTCTCTCGCACCAAGTGTATAGATGTATAATTATACATATATAATCATATATATATAGAAACATGATGAAACATGGTCATGCGCTCTGGCAAATGTGCACTCTACAGAATCTGGATCACTCAAAAGAATCACCCCACCTTGGTCAATCTGCTTCATCCAATGTGTCATGTGTCCAATGGGGATTGCTTCTTTACCAATTCACGTTCGACTCACGCCCGCCTCCTCGGTGATGGTGCCCTCCTCGGGCCATGGCTTCGACGGAGAGGTGCTGCCACCGAAGCGCAGGATCCGGTCCACCTCCGACGGACCGCGTGGCGAAGACGTGGCAGGCTGGCAGGTGTTGGGGAAGCAGCAGGGTGGGCCCCAGTCCTGCGAAGACGTGACACGAAAGGTCGTCCCCGGGGACGGTTTTAGAAGGAGATACCAAGGAGTAGCTTTCAGTCTCACAGTTGTGATGCAAAGAGATCTTTGTGAGCTGGTGTCAACATGGGTAACTCTTGCAAGAACTAGGCCAAACAATGCCAAACATTTTGTCGAGCAGGGTTTCAACTATGCAACACATTGCAACATCCATCAGTATTCTGTCCCTAGGGCTCCAAGTACCTCCTCAGATGGTATTTGGACCCTCAAAACCGACCCCAAAAACCTTCTCAGAAGGTACTTGGAGCCCTAGGGTATATTAAGTATCCCATAGTAATGTTGTTCTGCACACAACGGCTGAATGAAGGCCAGGTCTTCGATGGAGGGCCCAGTCCTGGAGAAACAAGTGTCTTCGACCCGCAAGTAGGCAACGCAACCACAACTGGATATCTGAGACACCTGTCCAGCCATTGTAGCCATGGCGTAGTTGGGTATGTCTTCGGAAAAACCATGGACGAGACATACCGATAGTTTTGATTGCATCTCCGAAAACGGCGGAGTGTTCCCATGTGCTGAGTTCCGGACAGGGGTCGGATTGTCCTCAGCGAAATCAATGGCGAAACAATGCCGTCTTAGGACCAATTGGCAGTTTCGAAACCTGAACTGTCAACTGCACGTGGGATTCACAGATTAATGAGCACCAGTCGAGTCATTGCAGTCTGTTGTCTCAATTGCTGAAGTTGGATCAATCGCTAACCCTGCAGGACCCAAGTCAGCACTTATATGGAGGAAACGCACTTGCAAGCGATTTGCACCGTCTAAGCAGCGAACAAGGATTGAGCGCTTGTGAACTGTTCGGGTCCCACTCCTGGCTCACCAGACCCGCAACTCAGCCTGGACAAGGCCTTAATTCTGGCGTATATGTTGGTCAATTTCATAGATTCATTAGACCATTAGACATCATTGACACACCTTCCGCAAGATCTTTTTGCACACCAGAATAAAGGTTTGTGATCCCCAAGCAAGCTCTGTAGGATTGAAGAATGAAAACTATATATATATATACATTGGGTCTATCCTGCTATCAGTAACGGTGGATGATGGTTCAGTTGCATGCCTTTCTCTAAAGTAGTGATTTGCTTCTTTACCGATGTTACAGGTAGTAGGACAAACCCAATATATTTTTATATATGTATATGTATGTATATATTTATAGAATATATACATTTCTATATGAAGAAACCCAATAGTATATATATATTTTAAAATATATATATATATACAATATAGTATACAGTATACATTTATCGCGAACCATGTCCACCTACCGGTCGTCGATTTTGGGTTCCTCCAACGGCCGGCGCAAACAAAGACGAGCTTCGCTGGCAGGCTCAGCCAGGGACACCCCGCCTGGGCCAGCGGTCGGTGGTGGACCAACAAAGTGGGTCAAAATGGGTTGAATGTTCTTTTAATTTTCTATGGCACTGTGTCAGATTCCGGTTGCAATTCAACGAGTATGAGGAAAAATGGTGTCCAAAACCTAAGCTGGGCCACTGCAGGTTCCGGAGCGGAGGAGGTTCCGGAGCAAGTTCCGGAGCAGGTGCCGAAGCAGGTTTCGATGAGATCGTTTTGAACAAGGTTGAATATACAGTATGAGAAATTGCATAAACGGGGAAGGCCTGTCGAAAGGACACATGTTGATGTGTATTGTCAGTATGACAACCTTGCAGAACCAATTGAAAGAGCGTAGCTGCTTACAAATGTTTCACATAATAAGGAATGCATGTTTACCTAGGTTTGAGGGTCGCAAGGTGCACAAAGCACCACATACTTACCCTATGTTGGCAGCATCGTGTCACAATCATGGAAAAAGGATTATATTTCGGAAGCACACATTGCAAAGGATGAGCACCTTTGACTGCCAGGATGCCAGGATGCCTTTTCGTTAAAAGGGTTCACGTGTTTAGATTTTGTGGTTTGCCAAACCCTATCCGCAGGAATGTGGAATATGCTTTCTTCCGAAGAACCCAGGAATGTGCAAAGCACAGTGGGCTTAACTGATGTTCACATGCAGTTGTTTCTTCTATTTCTGCAAAATGAAACCTAGGTCTTGGAAAGGTTTTCGCCAAAACGTGCTGTAAAACACAGTGCTGTTTGATATCAAAGATCAATCATAGTTCCTCACCATTCTGAGTTTGATGAAATCCACAGAGGTTCACATTGACATGTCCTGCCTGCCAAGCCGATATCGCCTTCGTTGAACTCCAACTTCTCGGCAAAGTTCAAGTTCGTCAAGAAGCGCTGCCAGCCTCAAATGGCCCATTCTCTGAGTGCTAGCAGCTAGCACCAGAAACATCCATGCTCAGAAAAGGAACGAGACCCCCGAGTCTGCGAGGGCCTCAAATGGTGAAATCATCTCAGTGAGCGGCCATTTCTTCTTCGTGTTTTCTCGCCCTGGCCTCACTCCGACGCCTAACGTCCACTCTTCGTCCACTCAGCTGCTACCTGGGCCTCCGGGCTCTTGCTACCGGCCCTGATGGTGGACCTGAGAAGAGTTTGGCACGGGCGCGGAGAGAGTCCTATATCCAATATACTATCCAATATCTTGGGTCTGTCCGACTTACCATCAATAGTGGATGATGATGGTAAGTAAAGGCCTTGATCAAACAACATAGATTAGTTTGTTTACTAACTGTTCCAGCATATATCTATATATATATCATATTAAGTATGATGTCTACTGGACGCAAAATAGCTTGAAGAGTTGCCAGATTCTGCTTTGTCACGTCACAAATTCTTTGAGGCGCCAGCATGGTGACATTCGCGCGATCAAGGCCTCAGGAATTCAGTCGGAGTGCTGCTCAACTGGTATGTTTGGCACGAACCCGACGGACTTCCGGCAGCTATGTTTGGGGCATGGTGGTTGGTTGGCATGGTTGGGCATGTAGTATCTTTGGGCAAAAATACAACCAACCTTCAAATAGAATGCAAGTTCTAGGTCCGGTCATTGGCCCGAAGTGCTGTTTGTTGTTCTTTAACATGTTGCGTACTACATGGACTGGATGCTGTAGACTAGGCCATGTTCGAGACGTATGCCTTCCTTCGAATTTGTGTGTAGGCTCAACGGCAATTCGATCTTGGACCCGACTTGGAGTGGATCACGTGGGCACCGAAGCCTCTTGGACTGCCTCAAGTTTTTTCTACATCAAGCTACTCTCTGAAAAGCAACTCGTTGCAACTTTGGCAGCCTTGGCACGTGTCATGTGCAACTTTGACAACACATGCCCAGAATGTGCAACTCACATCTAATGCTGGCAACCTTGGCAACTCCATGCAAATACCACTCAAAGGGTTTGCTTCCCACACTGTCCGACACTGTCCGACATGAACCTCACCGGTCCACGCGCTTTGATCACAACATATCACAACTATGGGAGACGCAGCATCGCAACCTGGTAGCTTTCTACATGTCGGACTGGTTGCCAATGCGATAAGTTCCATAAGTGTCCTATAAAGTGGCGTACACATGCGCTCAAGGGACGTATAACATGGGCTAACATGGTTCTCTGCATTGTTGCCATGGTTTTGCATTGCATGCTCGCTTTTGTTATTGCCCAAGTGCTTTTTGTTAACCCTGGGTTCTTTGACCCTTGTCTAATGAACTTGGCCTGATGAAAGGTGGGGTGCTGGTATTGGGTTGTTGGAAGAGGTATTAGTTATTAGTTATTCCTTTTGTCCAAAGTACCAACACCAATTCTCCATGTTTCTTCGGCAACTGTGCTGTCAATCTCCATTGGTCCATGCAGCCTTTTTGAACATGCCTCCATTCATGACTGAACAACCGACAACATCCGTTCTCCATGCCGGACAGGGGGCGAGCGTAGCCGTACATGTCTTGGACAATCTCCTCAGATTGGGTGATCAGTGCGACTCACACTTTCATCTGATCAGTTCTGCGTTCCAAATTTGAACAGCCCTGCTCTTTGCAAATCCCTTGAAGTCAAAAGACTCAGGTTCGCAATCCCGTGTTTCACAACAAATTGCTTTACACCCCAGACCTTGCAAGATGCCAATGTTTAGAATAGAGGGGTATACACGCCTTTCTTGAATCGCATGCGAACTCACATCTAACTGCGTCAGAATCCATATTCGTCAATTTATCATACGATGTTTATATGATGTTTGAGTCATGTTGGTTGAAGGAAACGGTTTCCTTGCCAATCACAGTGAAGGAAACAAAATTTACCTCTACTGCCTCTACTTCAACTCCATCAAAGTGGTGCTCTGAGTTTGCTGCAGTCATTGGCCCAGAGTTTTTCTGTACACATTGATAGACATTATAAAACAATTTGATTTCTTCTCAAGTGTTTAAAAATCCTGGAGTTCGAAGAGGCATGACTCATGATGTCTTTCTTCCAGGCTGTTGCCCCTGGTTTCCCTTGATTCCCCACAGCAGCGGTAGCCAGTAGACACTGCAGAAACACGCAAACTAGACCTCCCATAACTAGACTCTAAACTAGACCTCCCCGCAAACTCTCGTCCGTGGTCATGGTTTCAGAGTAGATGGCACAAGCTGTCTTTTAGATGGGGATCCATATAAACCACATGTTTGGGGATTGTGCCATCTACTCTGGACCCACTGTGTCTGTCTCGTCCGGGTGTCCGAGTAGGATTCGCTCACTTGGGCCACCAAGAGATTCCTTGGGACGTCGAGGCCATGCGAAGCGTCGCAGAAAAAGGGACACGGGGTCACCGGTGTCTCATGTGCTAGGTTTCCATGTTAGCTTGTTGACCCCTCCGAAGGAGATCTGATTTCCCAAAACAAGAGAACACTAGCAAAACAAGAACAAACGATTTTTCACTTCAGACTCTCCTGGAAAATTATCTTGGATATCAAACATGAATGACTATATAACTGATTTTTATGTAGTAGCTCCAATCCGTTCCGTCTTGCTCTTCTTATCCATATATACCCAAATCACGTTAAGTATTCTATTGTCGAATCATGTCGAATCTGTTCCACCGCGTCTTTAGCTCTACACAAAAACCCACTGACAAGTGCAACCATGCAAATCCCTCTCTGTTAGGCTCTGTTAGGTGGACGCCCTATGGCGGGCGGCTGGGGTGGCACACGTCAGACGGTGCCCCGCAGCAATCTCCCCACTTGCGCCAAACATGGCCGGAGTGGTGGAGATGAAGGTGAAAGGGAAAAAAAAAAAGTCTCAACCAGAGCACATGTGGGCGCCAAAAACGCTGCAAACATGCTGCCTTCACCTAAAAAAAACATCTAAAGAGATGAAACCCACGCCACGTCGTAATGCACCTGAGGTCGCAATTTTTTCAAAGCCGCATGAACCTGAGCAGTACAACGACCAACGTGGAGGATCTTCTGATGCAGAGGCTCCAACTCAAGCACCGGTTCAAGCCACCACTCCCAGCGCAAAGCATGGGAGACCACGGCCGTGCACCGATGGAGCAGATGGGCCAAAGTAAGTGGGTGATTACAGTGAGGGCAGCCGAGATCCACGCCAAAGCTGTGGTGGCCAAACACACCAAAGGGAACTTGCCCGGAAAGGCGGGAGAGGTACCAAGCTCGAGTATAGAGCCACTCACGTTTACTCCAGTGTGCCGATGCAAGTATCGCCAAGACTTTCTTCTCCAAAGAAGCATCATGCAGCCAAGGAAATAAATTTTGCTCCTGCGATGCAAGCCAGTCGCGATCAAAATGCAGGAGTTTGGGAAGTACAGCCGACCGTATCCAAAGGCGCACCTTAGATTTAATAGAGATCGTTGGAGCCACATGCTGAGCAAACTCAATGAAATCCTCAGGGATCCCAAATCTGTGCTCCAATGCCCAGGAATCATCTAACCACGTCGCTCCGGGCACTCGCCGTGCTCCTTCCAGGATGCCGGGAATGGCACTTTGACTGGGCACCATAAGTAACCTAGCCCTGGCGGACAAGATCCGCAAAGCCACCTTGGTAGCAAGACGTAGGTCAATACCTAAAGCACACAAGACCCGGGCATAGCCCCCTGAGCCAAGGGAAATGCCCTCAATACCCAGTATGGCTTTCAAGGCCCTATAGTGCGCTGCATTAAGACGTTTAGACACCTGCAGCCACCCTACTGCAGCACTGGCCAGGGGTTCAGTGCCATGTAAAACTGAGCTTTCAACCCTTATGGCCACCTGCTGAGTGTGGTGAGGGAGCCCAATGCCTAGATCACGTAGGGAGACACAGAGCTGGGAGGTTTCCTGTATAAAACGAGCGCACGTGACTTCAAGCAAGTGGGCGAAGCTAAGATTGCTGTCAAATGTGGGCCCAAGCACATTGAAAGAGGAAACCAAACCAATAGCAGCCCCATCGAGACTGGGAAGGTTAGTGGGGCTAGGTAGACTAGCCGGAACCAACATCAAGGCCACCTTGCTTGGGCCAGCAGCAAACCTGTGTTTCCACAATTGCAAAAACTGTTCCAAGGCCTTACATACTCGATTCATACCCCACAGCGTGGATTGAAAGACAAAAACGTCATCAACAAATTGAAAAACTAGCAAGGAGTGGGTGGCTAGGACGTCCAAGGCAACCAAGGCTGTTTCCAAATTCGTGGAGCGAAGTAAGGTAGAGGAATGTGACAGTGGGGCAGTTCCACGACATGCCTGAACTAAGTATGGTACGATATTAACCTCAACATCGCCGGACGGTCTGCTGTGCAGCCGTAGTCGATCCAACAAAATGGGAGAGGTGCCAAGCGAGACACCAATGACACTCTGGCGCAGCTGGTCCGGGATACCTCTGGCCAAGGCACCAAAAAGATGAACAGCACGACGGCCACCTTGTCCAAGACCAGCAGTGATTAAAAGAATGGCAGGGCCAACCAGTGGCCCGTAACGGATGCGAAAATGATCCTGCTGTACAGCGGAGTCAAGACACAACCACAAGGAACCACGAATGCCAGCCCATCGGGTGTGAAGTAACATTGCTGACTTCCATGCCAGATCATAACCTTGGAGAAGATCAGCTTTGAGACAAAATGTTGGTAGAGACCAATTCCGACGAGTCTGCAGCGCGATCAAAATACCTAAAGAAACCAAAGTACTATCAAATCGGCCTCCGGCTTGTTCTTGGCCAATGTAGGTTTCAAGAAGGTGGCGGCGAGAATGCAACCAGGCCAAATCAAATAAAGTTTGAAGTTCGTCAGTATAGCTGATCGGTCTAAGATTTTTCATCTCCGTAACAACCTGGGGGCCCCGTTTCCTGATGAAACTCACCTCACGCATCCATGCCGATGGAACGACGCCCAGGGCCATAAAGAGATTGAGTAAAAGCCAGCAGAGTTCGAGCCCTAAGGGGTTCTCATTGACCAAAGCAGCTCTGGGAAATCTTAATGAAGCCTTATGTTGCGAAATGTCACTCACCCAACGCTTGACGTCGTCAAACGCAAAAAACATGTGAGGTTCAGTGGCCGCTTCCTGCCTGGCAGTCTCACGCTCAGCCTGTAAGGCCTCATGCACAACCTCAGTGAAAGTATCAATGCCTGGATGAGCCTGGCTAGGCCGCTCAAGAATTTCTTGCGTCAAGAGTTGTACAACAGTGCTATCAGAGGCCCTGCGGCCAGATGCTTCATCAACAAAGTTGACCTCTGTAGCAACCCTTGGGTTGAGCATCATGCTCAAAAGAGCCTGCGCCCTGCTAGGGTCCGTGGCATGGGAGTCAAGAAAGTGCCGAACCAAAGAGGGGCTACCAGCTCTACCAACCTGAGATACAAACTCCTCATATTCAATCGTGTTGCTCTGGCACTGAGGACCATACCATTCAAGCAAAATTTTTTTCAACTGAAAGGCCTGGGACCCATAGGTTGAGGAATGTGGTTTGACAGTGACGGCCAGACCACACATGTGACCGGCTAAGCAAAGAACAACAGAGCGCCACCAAACGGCTCTGTCGACAACTGCTTGCCGGAGACGTTGCCATTTCCCATCGACTAATGAATCCCGGAGCAAATTTTCACGTAAAATCATCCGAACCCATGTACAGATATACTCCAAGCACAAGGGGACATGCAAGAGTGCCTCATTCCAAGCGTCACTGGAAGGAGACCACTTTGCCTTGCCAAAGGTCTGCCGTTCAGCATGGGGTATACTCCCAACATCTGTAATTAGGAGCGGTCGATGATCAGAAGAAAAAAGAAATTCCGTTTTAGGCAAGACTTCAACAACCGGTGTGATTTCATGCGAAGAAAAGACTAAATCAATGGCAGAACCCGAATCATGTGTGGCGATCTGGGAAGGGTTCCGCAGAACCAGGTTCATGCACACAGTGCTGACGATCATGGCGGTAATCTCTCGATCAACGGGTCTTTCCAGTCGTGTATTTTTATCACAAAGTTCTGCTATATGGATGTTCAAATCACCTGCCAAAATTACAGGTAATGATGAAAAAAGTCGTTCAGTGCGGAGTTTTTGGAGGTCAGCAGCTCGCGCTTCAAAAAACTCACGGCGTTCGAGCGGGCTACGGTTGGGGGGAGGAGCATAAGTTGCCAAGAGAAGGAAACCACGCGCATTGCCCACCGGGATGTGGACATGGAGCCACATTGCCCGCGCATCCCCCACTTGAGCTAACACACTGACTTTGTCAAGAAAGTCTGTAGAAATCAGGAGAGCCACGGTATTATTGCGGACAGATCGTTCACCAAAAAACTCATAGCCAGATCTTTGGGGCCAACACATGCCGGGGCCAAAGCATGGGTCACTGATGATGGCTATGGAGACTTGCGAGGTATGCAAGGCTGTAACCAGCTGCCAAATACGGTCGTTTTGAGCTTCCTGACGGCTGGACACACTCAGGGCACCTCGTACATTCCAACTCAGTATTCTTAGGTCAAAAATCGAGTGCGTGGCCAGGCCTGGTTCACGCGGCACTTCACTTGTCGCTATTCCACCCTCCCATGGGCCAAAGATAGTGTTGAAAGCTAAGCCACCGGCCACGAAAGCTGCCCTTCGGTCTAAAATGTCAAAAGTTTGGCCGATTGCACGGTCAAAAGACTTATACGAGTCAAGGTCCCTGCTAAGGTTAGAGAGTCCGTGAGGCGGCGCAGATCTCCGCAGTGCCTGAATGTCTCTTCTGAGTACCAAGGCCTGCCAAGGTGCAGATCCTGTCACTGCACAAGGCAAAGGAGCTCGTGACAAGTTCAGCAGCTCATCATGAGCAGCAGCCACCCCAAGATCCATGCAAGTAAGGTAAGACTAGAGGACAAAGGGCGGGCGCGGGAGACGCTGTCACAAGCCTAAACCCAAAAAGCCGCAGGGAAAACTCAGAATCAACAAAGAAGATCCAAAAGCACCAACCGAAGCAGAAGAAGAAGGAAGAAAAAACAAAAAACAAAACAAAAACCAAACAAAAAACAAACAAAGAAAAAAAAGGAAGGAGGCAGCAAAGAACGATTCATTTTTTCAAGCGGTTCAAAAAACCAAAGGTATCCCGCGATCTTAACGAGTACCCCAAAAGTCATCCAGGCTCGTGGTCGCTGCCTGTGTTTTGGCAGCATCCACACAACGATGCGGGCCAAACATCAAAACAATATTCGGCCCCAACTGCTGGAGAGCGCCTTTCACCCCCTTAACAGTAAGCTCTCGACCACCGACAGCGACCTGGAAACTAAGATTCCTCGGTTTCTTGTGGGAAGAGTCAGGTGGGATATTCACTCTATAAACACAATTCCTTGCATCTCCCTTTCGCTCAGCAAACCAAGTGCTCGTGGAAGGCTTGCGCCAAATGGGTCCTTCCAAAGGCTCAACATTGATAGCAGGCCCTTTAGCCCCCAACAGGCCCTGAATCCTCGCAGCCAAATCTCCAGCAGATGGAACTGGCTCAGCGAATTTAACATTCAACTGGAGGGTGGCCTGGGCTGAAGCTGGTCGGGCTTTGCACACCTTAGTGATGTCCTCAGTCAGGGCAGCAATGGCTTCACGCGCCTGTTGGACCTCAGCAGGTTGGAAATGAGCCTTGCCCATTGGTCGTTGCCCTGTTGATAGGCAAGTGCCAACAGTAGAGACCTGAGCTAGCTGTTCAGCAACTCGTGCCTGAGCCTGCGTAGCCAGAGTACTCAGCCGCTCGGTGGCCTCAGTCTTAGACATGTTCATGTCACCTTCTTTGGCGATGGTCAACAGCCTTCGGAGTACCTCAGGTGTAGGGGGTTCCAGTGGTTGATCAGGCATCTCAGGAGAATCCAGAGCCAAGGCCTCAGGGGAGGGCACCTCAGGTGTAGAGGGTGCCACTTGCGGGGGAGGTGTCCGGCTACGGCTACGATACTCTGCAGGACGAAGTCCTCCTGGGCATTGCTCCTGGATGTTACCAGTACCATCGGGAGCAGGTTCACACCCTTGAGCAGCTTGGGCAACGACAGTTGGCACCGGAGCCGAGGCAGATGGTGGGGCATGTTGGCCCAGTGGCTGTAACAGCGGCTCCCCATCATATGCTTGTGGCCACTGCGGTTGCACCAAGGCTTGCATCATACTTGCTTGCATTTGAGCAAGCTGCATTGCCCAAAAAAAATTCTCCATATGCAGGCCAAACAAGAAGGGAACAACAAAAATCATGAGCTGGATTAGCCGAAAAGCTGTTCAGGTGTGAAGTCGCCGGAAGTGCGAGAAGAGGAAGAAAAGGGAAAGGGAAAAAAAAACAACACACCACTCACACACAACAACAACTATTGAGCCACTGGCGCGACCTCTAACTACCCAGTCCCACCTAAACCTCTAAATCCGCCCAACCTCTACGGCAGCAACCTCTACACAAAATCGAAGGCGCGACCTGCGACCTGAAAACAGCAGCAGAACGGGGCGGCGCAGGAAGGGAACGGCGAGGCGCGGCGAGGCGCGGCGAGGGCGCGGTCAAAGAGAAGAAAAAGGAGAGAAAGAAAAAACACACGCACACACACACACACCAAAAAAAAGAAAAAATAAAATTAAAAAAAAGTAAATTTCCTTGGATTATACTCATCTCGCGGTGTGCCAAATTGTCTGGAAGAGGCCTGGCTTGCGAGTCTCTTGTCCTCTGTCGACTCACTGTGCTCCATGAGGTGCTCAAATCCGCTGGAAACAATCACTGCTCGTGCAAAAATCAGTATCTCAGCTCGTCTCAGCAAAAAGGTCCGGCCTCTTCGACAAACAAACGTACACAATCGTATACACATACAAGGACCCTCCATACAAGGACCCTACAGGCCTCCAGCAAGGAATTCCACATAATTCCACACATCCCAACCGAAGTCGACTGATGTTAGTTGAATCATATCCCTCACTCGGTGCCGGAGCCCTCCTCTAAGAAGCGGTGCCTGGGAACGTGTAGCATCTATCGTCATCGGGCCATTCCGGGAAGGGAAGGACTCTCAAGTCTGCCTAGTGCTGACAGGTAGCATCTCTCCCAACAGTTGCACCATCTGAATCCCCCAAAAAAAACATCGCACTCCAAGAGCCTTGATCACCAGACCTCTCCCATATACTCACACGCGTCACGCCCCGCAAGTTAGGTCGATGCTTCGTCCTCATCCGAACTCGTGGTGTGCTGCGACGTCCTCCCGCCCCGCGTCGTGGTGAAACACGACGCGCCTGGCGGTGTCCAGCTTCTTCATCAAGACCTCCCCGGAAGGTCGCAAGGCCAAGACCGCGCCATCCTGGGCCTGGATTTCCACTGTCCGCCACGTGTCCCCACTGCACCGCCGGCCAAACGCCATGCAGAAACATCTGCAGCGCCAGTGAGGTGGTTCCCGCCTTGGGCGCGCCCAGCAGATAGACTTCCGGCACCCGGTGCCCCGCCATGCAGAGTGGAGCGCGAGGCGTCCGCGAGGCGTCCGCGCGGCCGGAGGTTTCAAGCGCTCTCTCTGTGTCCGGAACTGGAGGTTTGCGCTATCGCCCGTTCGGGGATAATTTCTGCGGATCTTCTGATGCCACGGCGCCGGCGCAGAATCACCTGGTGAAATACATCTTGGAAGTGATCGTTGATTAAAAGCCGGGTTTTTGGCTTGGATCTTCACAATTTCTGCAGCTTGCAATGATTTGCGCGTAGGCTCCATAGACCCCGAGCGGGCCATCTCAACATGATGCAAGCAATCTGGACGATTGCCATGGCACTCGGTCATGGAGACCTTGAAACCCACCAAGTAAGGAACATGTGTAACATTTGTGTCGTTTGAGAACACCACCATGCGACCAAAGCATGTGGTAGTTAGACGTTGGTTCAACAAATCTCGCCGCACCTGTACTTTCTCTGCAAGCACGCGGTCCACTCCTGCAACCTTTCAGAGCAAAAAGCCGCCGATTGTCCAGAGAATATAGTGCATCTTCATGATGAAAAATCTGCAGTTTGGGCAATTTTTGAGGGTGCTCACATCAACTTCAACATCCCTGATGCGGCAGAGATTATTGCTTTTACGCTGCAACTTGATCTCCCCACGTCCTTTGACTTCACTGGTTGGGGAGTTCAGATCGAGGCCATTGTCGACTGGCTGCGAGAAAATCTCCTCCTGTCTGGCCTCTGAGAAAGTTTCATCCTGTCTCAGGGCCTCCAAGAAGTCAGCAACGAGTTCCACCTTCACAAATCCTGCAAAGTGCTCTGCCCTCACTGAAGGTGCTCCATCATGGTTGCACTGGTTGCACTTGTGCGGAGCGTCCGAAACGATGCATGAGTACAAACCCAAGGGGTCTCGATCCTGAGCAGCCAGATTAATGAAGGGGGAACCACAAGTGCCATCTGGTGGATAACCTCCGTTCCCAAGTTCAAAAGATCTCGCCAAGAATGCAACCTCAGCGTGACCATCTCCTATATCAGAGTATCACTGTTTACGAGAAGGCACAAATAGTTCACCAAGCGCAAAGATTCCGTGTTTGTGATGCTGAGTCGGCACCCAATTTGGAGTAGGCAAATACAGCAAGGATCAAATCGTCAAACATGTTCATCAGGTACTGCAAGGACTCATCTTGGGAACTTGCAGGTTCAGATATGACACAAATGCTTGTAAGACGATCACAAGTAGCAGCCTGCTCAAGCATGGATGGCTGGAGGAAATGATCCAAGTTGCAACAAGCTCGAAATCTCAGCTCTGCTGCATTCCTTCCAGGCCACTGCATCAAACATGACAAGGTCCAGCTTCTCTGGGTCTTGTATCACTCCCATGACTCACTCACAGCGTGGATCCTGCAAACCCTCAAGAGCTGAAGAGGAAGGGAGAAAGGCACAAAATCTTGCAACACAAAGATGACGATCTGCCACAGTGCACCCAAAAAGCTCAGGGGGATCATGGCATCGGTCTTGAAACTTTCTCTTCCAAAGGCAAAAATCGACTTCAGCTTTGGTTGCAGGCCTTTCGTCTGCACTGAAAAGGTCACAAAATTCAATGAGATGAGAATCATTTGGATCTAGTTGGAAGGCCTTGACGGCATGGGCACAAAGAAAATTATGGCGGCCAGATTGAGGCCTTGAAGGATTTCCCGCAGCTTGATGAGCTTGGGGAGTTGGTCGGCCAAAGAATGAACCCATTGCACCACAAGGCAACCAGCTTTGGAAGTACCGCTCTGCTTGAACCCAGCGCGCCTTGAGCCAAAATGGCTACGGATTGAGAGCATTCCCTCGAACTTGACGTCCCATTGGACCACGCGGTCGGTCAAACCGAGGTACAATAGAAAGGCGGTCACCAGAACCATGAAGATACACACCACCACGAAGACCCACACAGATGCCTTGCCAAACTTTAAAACGTCTTCAGAAACGTAAGCAATCCGAAACGACTCATTTTGGTTGGACGACTCATGGAGGAACAGGCACATGCCTGGCCACTTGAAAAGGGTAAGTGGTTTGTATTCCAATAATGTTGCAAACCAAATGTGTTTCTAGTTTAACAAGGCACAGCTTGGATGAATCCTTCTTAAAGCGAAGTCCAAAATATCTCTGTGCGTGCTCACAACTCAAATCTAGCGTGTCTAGGGAGTCTCAATTTCAGGTTTGCACAAAGTGTAGTTTCTACATCTCAGCTCCCATGTGTCGGCACAGGTGCAACATGGAGTTTGATGGAGAAACAACCCTACAGACATGAAGTCATGAAGTCAGTGCAATGGCTTAGTCGCCGGCCTCAAGTTCTGCAAAGTTCTGCGCTGAAAAGAGCTTCAAGGAGATCAACAGCAAAGTCAAAGCAGCTGAATCAATGCCTCCAGGGCATGTGCTGCAGTAACTGCACAAATGCGAATATATACAAATGTATATTATACAAATATATGCTTCCCCCTTGGGTACGTGGCTAGCAAATTCGCCTAGCAGATGTGATTATCAAACGTGCCTAGCGAAGGGCCTAGGAAACTGGTCCTACTCCTACTCCGACTACTACTACGACTACCACTACACTACCACGACCCTCGCCACCGCCACCACCACCAGCAGAGCAGCAACACCACCACCACCACGACTACCCCTCCGCCTCTTACTCCTACTGCTACTGCTACTGCTACTCCTACTACTACTACTACTACCACCACTACGACTACGACTACTACTACTGCTACTGCTACCCCTACTCCTACTCCACTCCTCCTACTACTCCTACTCCTACTCCTACTCCTGCTGCTGCTGCTACTACTACTGCTACTACTACTCCTACTCCTACTACTACTACTACTACTACTACTACTACGACTAGTGCTACTGCTATTACAACTCTTCCCCCTTACCGCCCCCTTCCGCAGAACAAAGGATCTTCCGTACAACTTCGGGCGGCATGTAAACAACTAGCACATATAACCCTGTCACACCGGGCGGCGCGGTTACAAAGGGCAGGGCTAGACATTGCCTTCCAATCTAAAAGACTCTCTGGAAGGGCTGGAAACGGTTGGACGTTGAAAACTAGAGGGCTGGAAGGGCTGGACCGGACATTTAGTGTTTTTAGTTTTCTTTGTTTTCCAAGTTTGTTTTATCTTGAACACTAGAGGGCTAGAAGGGTTCGACGTTTAAAGTCTTTTTTTGTTCCTGAGAACTAGAGGGCTGGAAGGGCTTGACATTTAGTTTTGTTAGTATGTTTTGCTTTTTTACAACGACAAACCATAATGGCTGGATGCTTAGTTTTTGTACGAGAATTTCCCACTGCAACATAATAGATACAAAACCCCTCTAACGTACATGTATAATATATATAAATGATAATATATGTGTAATTGTTAATATAGTATATGTATGTGCATATAAATTATGCTATATTCTGTGCATAGGGCTTTCTAGGTGTCCCCAAAAGTATATCCTAATAGATAGGAGCAGTGTCAAACATATTTGTGGGCAAAGAAACAAAAAAACAACGACAAACAAATGCAGGATACTTGAGGAATTATGCGTAGACACACGAACAGTGATTCTGTGCTTCATGAGCGGTAAGAAACTTGACACACAAGATATTGCAAGGTATATAGCTGTTGATCCAATTGCTCTCTCTCTCTCTCTCTATGTTCAGATTCTATGCCGTTCATGAGGGATTTGAAGAAACCTTCAAACTGGAGAAGCCCTGGGACAGAAACCACATGTGCCATAGTCCATTCTGCATAGTCTGCCAGTGCACCGGGGGGGCACGGGCAGATGATCCAACTCCGTAAAGGGTGGTCCAACGTTGATGTTGGCAGCCACAAGAAAGCACCAACACACTGACCGGGAATGTAATGAACTCTCATCAGTGATATTATGAATATATATATATAATTATTAATTATATATACAGTATATGTACAAGTTGGGAAGCTAGCAATGCCCTGTTTTTTGAGCATGGACAACAGCAGTGTCTGGAGTGTCTATTTGGTGTTGCTTAGTAGTCCTTACTCTGCAACGGGCCGCCCTGCCTGAGAGAGCAGGGATCTGGTGCCTTGGGACACCGGAGAATCCCAACACCGGAGCCGGCCAGTGTATTGGGGAAGCCGGCCAGGACCGCCCAATGGGAGCCGTTCGTCTCAACTGGCATGATTTGGAGCTTAGTCTGTTGAGTAGTCTGAGAGCAGCTCCAGATATGCTATGTGGTGCAAGCATGCTGAACATCTCCATGTGGACCTCTAAAGGGAGAAATCCGCAGGTGCTCTATTCTCCAAGAACTAAAGACCAGTAAAATTGGCTGTCACTGTTCGACTGGTCACCTTTATCTTGTTTGAAGGGCATGATCCGCATCGGCATGAACCCATCATGGAATCTGCACCGGCCCGCTTCTTGGGTTGAAGGTCCTGGACGTTCATCGTAGATCAGTGTCCGAACGTGCACCGGATATGCGACAGTATTCCACTCCACTCCGAAAAGCAACATGCTTCACCCTGCCACAGTTTTCCACAGTCTTCGGAGCATGAGGCAAAAAGAAACAACGAACAACAAGTCTGCAGTCGTGCAAGCACCAAGCACTTCAGTGGCAGTAACGTTGATATCAAGCGAATGCTACATTGATACCGCATGTAAAGTCCCCCCTATCAAAACCGTTTCCAGTTCAAAAGGACAGTGGTCTCAAAAAAGGACCCCACGATGGACATCGTCCACATGTTTCACTGGAAGGATTCAACAGATGCAACGATCAAAAACTGGAAGAATCCCGAGAAGATCGACCACTTCGATCTGCCCACGGGCCCGGCATGGAAACATCTGAGCGTCTTCAAGGCATTCAAAGAGGTGGCAAAGGCCATGACCAGAAAGAAGAGAGTGGTCCTTTGGCTGACAAAGTCTGTCTTTGAAAGTGCAAGGAATAGAAAAACCTCTGGGACCCTGGGAGAAGAACCTCAGATCCTATGGTTGCTGTGTTTGTTTTGCAATCTTTTGATGCATGTTGTTGACAAAGTCGGCCTCAGGTCATCTTCTATGTACAAAGAAGGTTTTGGAAATGTGGTAAAAACAAAAGAAGTGGATTGTGAGTCTTGTAACGCAACATAACTTCAAACAAGGCTTCAAGAAAAGTTGCCACGAAGGGAAAGAAACAGCGGCGCAGGGATTCAAAGGCGATGGAATGAAAAACAAATTGGGACAAAGATCGACACAACCCGCCTTACAAAACAAAGAACCTTTTTGTTGAGTCACACCGCGCTAGCTGCAATAACTAACGTCATATGTTACTATCGACATCTATCGACCTTTTTCGTGACCGCCAGCACCACAGAGCACTGCATCTACGATAACCAAGCAAAAGGAAGACCGATCTGGGTTCCCTCCCCCCAAGGAGAACCCATCCGTGTGGAATTCTGGCAATTGAGCCACATAAAGAGAGCGATCTCCGTGAGGACTTGGAAGATCACCAAATAGTAAGCAAAGATGTGCATGGAAAAAATGGACACGTCCATCACCAAAAGCCAATAGAGCAACATTGTGAAGCCTACAGCAAGGCTTCAACTGGTTGACGACTGACATAACAGTTCAGGACTTGGTTGACTGGTACCTATTTACACAATTTACCTGTTTGATCTCGTTTTGGGCAACACCCACGCTTGCGGAGTCTAAGTCCAAACAGCGTCAAAATTCACGCAAAACCAAGGAGGCCTCTGCAGCAGTGGTCTTACCAGAAGTACCGCATTTTGACGGCACACCACTCACTTGCGCAGGCGAGGTCGGCGCCAAACCCAGAAGATCTAATTGTGAAGGGGAGACGTCCCAAAACTCACTTGTGCCGGCCAAAGTTAACTCACTTGCGAACGCAACCACAAACCTGCACACCTCCAATTCAGTGGTTCTTTGCGGCTCGGAACCTTCCCCCTCTATATCGATTTAACCATCGGGTTGCTCAAGAATGCTATGCTACATTGGAAAGGGTCTTCAGGATTCTTCAGGTATGCTACATCGGAATTGTTCCTTATTGTTCCTTCTTCCTCTAAATTTTGGGGCGGAAATTCGACCATCAGGTAGCTCTCACAAAAGGTATCTCGGGTTATACTGATGTATGTTGTATGCTACTTTTCCATTGCTCATCCTCTAAATTACCCTAGAGTGCCTCACAAAAGGTATGCTACGTTGGAATTGCCAAATTTCCTGCCTTCATTGTAAACTCAGCATCCTTGCACAAGTGGGAGTGTGTGTTGGCGAAGCCATTATGCTGAAGGCTTCCTAGTGCGTTTACAAGCGAGGCGTTGTCCGCAGCGCGAGCGCCAGGGCCGGACCTACGAGAACTGCCAGGCCTGAGACCACTTGATAGGACTTTTGCTGCTCGGGTACCAGCTCCGGACAGCTATTGCTGAAGGGTCCAGACCTGGAGAGAGAGAAAAGCGGTTGGCGGTTGGGTTTTTAAGGGGAAACAACATTGAGCCAAGGTGAGCCGGGTGAGCAAATTCAACATTAGCGTTGAAATAAAACAATCAGACTGTTGGGAGAAGTGAGGAAATCAAAGGTGGACCAAAGAGTGGAATCCGAATGGGACAAGTGACTTAATTAGGTCCTGGAACAAGAATCTGAACGCACGTTTGAAGCATCATGTGTTCACACACACACACACGTGTGTTGCCTCGTGTTTAAGGGTGGTGTACAGTTAGAGGCTGCAATCATGAAGTGTCATGAAGCGTCAAAAACTACTCCTTTCATCTTTCTACGTAAGATCACTACGGTCGGAGCTAGACTCGGTATCCACCACGTCGGAGGTTCCCAACGAAGACCAGCTTCGCATCTTCGCGGCCCGAACACCGGTACTCTCACATCGACGAGGGGCGTGTCACTCTGGTGGTTGAAGCACCAGAAAATAGGTTCTTGAGTACACATGGTAATCCTAGGCTGAGGCAACAAGGTTCGTCTACCTTGCAGGCACCCCACACGACCACCAATATTTTGTTCTTGGGAAGATGTGTGTGTGTGTGAGCTCAAGAATCTGCAGCCCAAGAGCGGAATCATGCCAAAGAAGCCAGAAAAAAGGGGATTGGATTGGTTTTGGTCCCGTAGCTGTTCTTGCTCCGGAAATGTGGATTGTGGATCCCTTGGGCATTTGTTCGAGGTTCCCAAACGTGTCGGTCTTCTTTCTGACCAAAAGTGAGTGAGGCAGGCAACTCCACGGTCAGTGCACCCACTGGGCTCTTGAGCCGTCAAAGGGTCTCGTCCACCCCGGCAGATCAAACCAAGCATTTCTGTGGCATGTGTCCCAAAAGGTGTCTTCATCCGTGGCCATTCAGAATGCCCAAGACATACAGCGTGTCTTCATCCGTTCGGATCAAGAAGACGATGGTACCAAGGAGATCCAGTACTTGGACTCTCCAAACCAACCCCATCGTCCCATCGTCCCATCGTCTCGTATGATGCTGAACCCCATGGCTGGTCTAAGCGCCTGGGTGCTACGGTCTACGGAGTCTACGGCGTCTACGGTCCGGCGCTTTAGAGATCGTTTATACACGATCCCAGCAGCAAGGAAAACAGTGGAAAACAGTATTGCAAAATGGTTGATGTAGCTGCAGCTCAAAATCAAACCGCAAGATATCTCAAGAACTGTCCCAACGATGATCTGCAAAAAGAATACGTAAACTGCAACGTCATGAGGCTCTGCAAGCCGGTCCCACAAAAAGAACAATCAGGCAAAACATTGTAAAACATGAAGACAATTGCCACATTGAAACAAACTTTAAATTAAGAACTGCATAAATCTATACTTCTTCTATGTGTTCTGGGGAGGATGGCCATGACGAAGGTGAACCGGCATGTTGATCCCGGATCCTTCATCCAATCCTTGTCCAGCAGCAAGGAGGCCAAAAGCATCAAGGTAGATATCTCTTTAAGGCCTCAGTTGCTGCCTTCGGCTGGGAGCGCTACCCCGTAGCGCCATTCGAGGGTATATAATTGGGAACTTTGTCTGACCCGTTCGTTCGTAGAAAAGCATTCGTTCGTTCGGGTTGGCGTCGCATGGCCTTCACAGATTCCAAGGAATCCTCGGTTTGTCCACTCAAAGGACGTCTGGTGACCCAACGTTGCTTGAACCTTCGAGGAGGGATCCTCCCTCATGTGTCTCTTACTCCAAACGCATGCGGGGAGCTGACTACGACTACCTCTGAAAGATGACTATAGTCGAAAGGGGATCTGGAACCTACGGCATCCTATATATCCTTTTCCCAACCCTTCGAAGTCCACCCTTTTCTGCTCTAAGAAGTCCTGCAACCCAGCAGCTGCACAGGAACTTTGGCCACGAAAGCCATCGGGTGATCCTCACGACCGACTGGAAGCGGCCGTGAAAAGCCCTGCTGTTTTGAGGTGTCCAATGACCAGAACCCTGTTTTCTTAGTGACTTCAACTTGGTCTGGCAACCTGAAGCCTGATGCTTGCATTGAACATGCAACAGACCGCTTTCAGCGGTCTGCCGCTCGGCCAAGGGATGAACTACAGCTTCGAACAGGTGAGGTCAGAAGCTCCGAGGGCCTGCCGATACCTCGTTCATGCCTCCAGAACAACAAGAACTTCAAGGTACTGCCACAAAGAATCGTTCCACACAAAGAACCAACATACATTCAGTATACGACTCTACGCAACAGTGCCAGGACCGGAAATGCCATGCTTTGCCATTATACGACTGAACGTCTCGTTGTGAAAAAGACAAGAAGAAAACATGGAAACAAGGCGATAGGCCCGACAGGCTGCCTTTTCAACAGGATCCGTTTTTCCATGGGCAGAGGTGCTGATGTTGGAGGTGTTTGGGAGTTAGTCTTGGGACGTTGTTCTGGTCCATTCTGGTCCTGGTTCGAGAAGATTCCTGAAAAATCCATAAGTAGATGAGTCGTGAAACCAATCCACGGCAAGGAATTGTTGCCTTCTCCAATTCCCGAATCCACGGCCACCAAAATCAGCTGCCATCCTTATTCCATATGATAATTCCATATAATTCCATAATTCCTCATACCAGGAGTCACAAAGCCTCTGGTTTTTCGTCCCATCCAGGGGCCGTGGATGTGATAGGGGCACCCCAAACCCGGGGGCAAACCTCAAACCTGGCACCCGTCGGCATCCGTCGGCGCCTCACGAAGTCCCTCGCTCGAAGGGCCGCCACCCAGAGCCGAACGAATCCTCAGGATCCACACCGAGCACGACTAGGTCCGGACACGAACGACGACGGAGTCGTGAGTCGTGGGACGATGGAGTCGGACGAACGGACACGAGGTCCGTGCGTCGAAGGGATCGTCATCGGAAAACGGGTACGAGGTCCGTCGGTGTGTATATAGATGGAGTCTATAACACTAACTCAGGGTGGGAAAAGACCTACTTCAAGCGTCGTGGACAACAGCTTGGGTGAGTCCATTCAAAGACGGCACAGGACAAGGATTCCGTAAACATTGGATCTGTCCGCAAGTAAGGACAGTTGGATGATAGTGGCCATACCATCTCAAGGTGAAGACGGTGAAGGTGACTCATACCATCTCATACCCATTCCAGGTGTGGAGTATGCAACCATAAAGCAAAGTCTCTGTGTGACTCTTTGGACACCAAGACATGACCGGAGGGAAGTTCGTGACTCTGGGGCGAACCCGTGACCGACTGTGGATCCGAACTGGCGGGATGTGGGACGTGGTGGTCATTGTCAGTCATCCACCGTGTTCCACGTCCGGGGCTTCTTTCGGCTACAGATGCGAAGAAAACCTCCAGGCACCGTGTTTTTCGATGTCTGACGTCCGATTTCATCGGATTGCGTGAGGGGTGCCGCACGAGTCCGGCATCGAGGAGAAATAGTCCATTCATGTCATCGAGTTTCCGTTTGCTCATGGTTTCATACTGCAACGACACGATTCTTTGTAGAGCCTCGAGCTCTTCATCCCGACACAAGGGGGCTCTTAGCTTGCAGGGTTCGGAAGCAAAACACAACCAACATCAACCAACCGCCGATGGTCGGTGCAAGAGATGCCCACTTCCGAGAGTTGTTGAAGTAAACTAGACGACGAGTGGCCCGAAAGCATTTTTCATCACGTAGGAAGTCAGAGTGTGAGTTAAGTGTTCAGTGTGAAGTGTTAAGTCGAGTGAGTTGAGGCAGTGTGTGGGTCTCTGTGTGTGTGTATCTATGTCTGTGTGTGTATGAGTCTCTGTCTGTGACTCCGAGTAAGTTGAGGCAGTGCGTGGGTCTCTGTGTGTGTGTGTGTCAACCTTTTAAGAGAGCCGGGTGGTCGGGAGACATGACTCAGCTGCAGGGGCGCCAGAGCAGCTGTGAGAGATGACTCAGCCGCGAGAGATGACTCATCCGCGTACTAAAGTTGCACTGCAAAGTCACCAGTTCTCAGCTTCCAGCTCCCCAGATACTCCGCGTACTAAAGTTGTACTACAAAGTCGCCAGTTCTCATCTTCCAGTTCCCCAGATACTCCGCGTACTAAAGTTGTACGACAAAGTCGCGCCAGTTCTCATTTTCCAGCTCTCCAGATACTCCGCGTACTAAAGTTGTACTACAAAGTCGCCAGTTCTCAGGTTCCAGCTCCACAGACTGCTCCACGTACTACAGTTGTACTACAAAGTCACCAGTTCTCATCTTCCAGCTCCCCATATGCTCCGCGTACTAAAGTTGTACTACAACTTCGCCAGTTCTCATCTTCC